GCTTGTGCACCTGACAATCGTCTCGCTTGTGCACCTAAAACCTTCCACTTCTACCTCTACTTGCACCTCTCTTTCTACTTCCACATCTACTTTCAGCTCTATTCCTACTTGTCCTTCTACTTATTTTTCCACATCTATTTCTACTTCTCCTTCTACTTCCACTTCTACCTCTACTTTCACCTTTATTTCTACTTCCACTTCTACTTTCAGCTCTACTTCTACATCTATTTCTACTTCTCCTTCTACTTCTACATCCACTTCTACTCCTATATCTACTTCTACTTCCACTCACAATTCCACTTCTACTCCTACATCTACTTCTACTTCCACTTCTACTTCTACTCCTACATCTACTTCTACTTCTACTTCTACTACTGCTTCCACTTCTACCTCTACTTCTACTTCTACTTCTACTTACATTCCCACTTCTACTCCTACATCTACTTCTACTTCTACTTCTCCTACTGCTTCTACTTCTACTTCTACTTCTAGTTCTAGTTCTACTTCTACTTCTACCTCTACTTCTATTCCTACTTGTGCATTCTACTTCTACTACTACTTCTACATCTATTTCTACTTCTCCTTCTACTTCTACTTACATCAAGTGCAACGACATATAATCCCTAAAGGTGTCGTGGCTCCTCTTACATCAAGTGCAACAAGATATAAACCCTAAAGGTGTCGTGGCTCTCCTTACATTAAGTGCAACAAGATAGAAACCCTAAAGGTGTCGTGGCTCTTCTTACATCAAGTGCAACAAGATATAAACCCTAAAGGTGTCGTGGCTCTTCTTACATCAAGTGCAACAAGATATAAACCCTAAAGGTGTCGTGGCTCTCCTGACATTAAGTGCAACAAGATATAGACCCTGAAGGTGTCGTGGCTCTTCTTACATCAAGTGCAACAAGATATAAACTCTAAAGGTGTCCTGGCTCTTCTTAGATCAAGGGCAACAAGATATAAGCCCTAAAGGTGTCGTGGCTCTTCTTGCATCAAGTGCAACAAGATAAACCCTAAAGGTGTCGTGGCTCTTCTTACATCGAGTGCAACGACATATAATCCCTAAAGGTGTCGTGGCTCTTCTTACATCAAGTGCAACAAGATATAGTCCCTAAAGGTGTCGTGGCTCTCCTTACATTAAGTGCAACAAGATATAAAACCTACTAGGATGCCCCCCGGGACTTAAGGAGTTATAACTAAGTTATAAGTAACGTAACATAACTTATAAGTTGACTTATAAGTTGGTTAACTGGCTAAGTAGGTTCTAAGTTGATTGTTTTTTAAAGGGACTTAGGTTGAACTTAGCTAGTTACTAAGTATGTTGCATGTTAGGAGTCATGAACTTAGGATTTACTTAGGTTGGACTTAGCTTAGTTAGCTGTCATGATGAATTTTCATGTTTTTTGTATGGCTAACTAGTTTGAGCAATTTTTCTTGTGGATTTTAAGAAAACAAGGTTGTGGCAGCAAGACTTTATTTGCGTCTGTGGCCGTTTTAAGGGAGAAGGCTCGAGTTTTGTTTGTGAAGGTTCCGGGCCCATCATGGCTATGCAGTTGGAGCGACATCTGAAGGCCTCGCAAACTTTCTTGGATGGGGTGAAAACCCTTCCCAACTTTAGAGAAATTCAGATTAAGCAACATGGTGAGTTGTGCCGCTGCCTTGCCAAAGTGGAGAGCTTGACCACGGAAGTGTCGGGTCGCCTGCTGTCGCTTCTTGATCATGCACTGTGGGGTGACTATGCAGATCAGGTGAAGCAAGACATTGTGGCCCGCACGGGAAGTGAAGACAAGGAACGGAGAGTCAATCAGGATTACATGGCGGTTGTATCTTATTTACCTTCGGCTTTGGTTGCGCGCCTGGAATCGGATCGTAACCGTGCCCAAGTGTTGGAATTGCTGTGCCAATTTTTGGTGAAGCTAGGCCTTCGTCATCCGACGGAGAAGACCTGTGGTCTCATCCTTGCTCTAGCGTTTGATTATCATGGAGTGGCCTTTGAAGCGGACAAGTGGCAATACACCATGTTGCATAAGGCGACCATTCAAAGGCTTTTGACCAAGTCAGAACCGCCAGTTTATTTGAATGTGTTGCCGTCGGATGTGGCGCAGTGTCCACGCGTCCTTTGGGATGCAGCATTGGAGGGGCAGCAACCGCATGGCGTGCAGTTTCCCTCTGAGCTGGTGATGCGTGGTCGCGCCTGGCCACTGCGTGCCTCGCATCGGATTGCTGCCCAGGCCGCGCAGCCGAAGGCCGTTGGTTCCCAGTCAATGGATTTTTTTCTGGTGGGTCAGATGGCCGCTGGAATGATGTCTGCTGGTCAACCGCCTGCGAGGCAGTCCGTGACGCCAGCGGCATCTTGTACTGCGAGGGAGAAGCCGCAACCTCTGCTGGCTTTGGAGGATGGCCGCGTTGAAGACACTGGTGCATCGGTGGCAGAACCGCAGGTTGTTGCAACCACGGCTGTGCCCGATGCAGGTGCGAATGGTGTTGCTAAGACGTTGGCGGCCTTGAAAGGAGCAGTTCACTCTCAGAACGGCGAGAATGGAAAGAACCATAGGGTTTTGAAACGACCAGCGTCCAAGTCAGAGCAGTCGAAGAAAGAGAAGATTGAATCTGAGCAGAAAACCGCAGGGAAAGTTTTGAAGAAACCAGCTGCCAAGGCAGCCCAGGCCATGCCCTCGAAAGCGGTTGCTAAGCGACCCGCTGCTGCGATGGCTATGAAGAAGTCACCCAAGAAGAAGACAGGGGAAAGCAAATCGCAACAGCGTCAGCGGCTGTTGGCAACATTGCCTCCCAAGCTCCGTCGTAAGTTTCAGAATGGCTGTGCCCGTTGCCGCTGGCGCAAGGAATGCTGTCTCAGTTGTTGGCGCTTGCGTGGTTTCTTCTTTTACTGAGAGGGATGCATAGAAAAGACAACAGGCAGACAGTCCCGGAGAGGAAAACATGGAGCAAACGTGCTTGCATTTAAATCATATGTTGAGTTGCTCTGTCTGTGCTTCTTTTCCGCAGCTTTTTTTGGTGCAGGCGTGACGGCTCAAACCCGGGGCGAACCTCTCATGGTGACTGTCCGGTGCGAGGCCGGAAGGAGCCGAGGATGGGGGGTCTGATATATATATATATATGTGAATCTCTTGGTATATATATATAAGAAATCCATTTTTGATATATAGATGCATAAATATATATATATATATTTATATCTATATATATATATATATTGTTTATATATATATATCCGATTCTGCTGTCTTGCCTTTGTCTGTGGTGCTTTCGCCTTGCGTGACAAGTCCTACGAGGACTTTCGAGACACCTACGAGGTGTCTGGGCCGCTCTTCCACATGGAAGTCCTACGAGGACCTCCAAGATACCTACGAGGTGTCCGAGTCTTCTGTCTAGAAGTCCTACGAGGACTTTGGAGACACCTACGAGGTGTCTCGTGTGTCTTCCTACGAGGAAGACGGTTTTCCCACGAGGAAAACTGGAACGTGATGGATATACCTACGAGGTATATTCCCACAGCGGAATGTCCTACGAGGAAATTCCCGGATGACCGGACAGATTCTACGAGAATCTGATCTACGACATGGCCTACGTGGTCATGGCGCACTTGCAGCACTTCCGCGGTGTCTGCAAGAGGCAATATATAATGTCTCTCTGTTTTTTTTGCGGTCTCACTCATGTGTTCTGAGATGAGTTCTATATCTGTGTCTATGATAGACTTATACATAGATACGAATGTTACATATTGGATGCTTTTATATATGGGTATGTATAGATCGATACGTATATATAACCCATTCATTTTTTTTGGCAATGTTTGGTCGCATGTCATGCTGCCGCAGGCCTCGATGGCTCCGGACGATGAGGACGAAGAGTCCTCGGAGGAAGACGTCTCGGACGAGGAGGAGGCTAAGGGCCCCCAGCCGGAACCGAGGGAGACAGAGACGAAGGACCGCAAAGACGCAAAAGAGTCTCCCTTTGACAAGAAGGAGCGCCGCGAGACCCGTGCTAAGAGCCGGGATCGTGGCAGGCATGCGTCGAAAGAGAGGCGCTCAAAGGAGCGGGACCGTTCCCGTCGCTCCCGGAAAGGTTGCACACGCTCTCGTGAGCGGGTGAGTAAGAAGGAGGACCGCAAGGCCCGTGACAAGTCTCGTGGCCGCTCCCGGGTGCCCGTTTCCCGCAGTGATCGTCCGAACGAACCGACGGGAAAGCCTCCGAAGAAGGTGGAGTTACTTCCGAAACAGCGAGCTGCCACGAAGAAGCATGAGGGCGACTGGGACCAAAAGAAAGCAGATCGGGTTAAATGCCCGCACTGTAAGAAATCCCTCACAACGCAACTGAGTGGACAGAAGCAGCACATGTATATGAATCTGTAGTGCCTGCGGTGTCAATTCTGGAATCAGCTTCCGGTAAAACGCCAAACGCAGGAGGAATGGGGGAAGACTCTGGCAAAGGCCACGGAGCTCCGAGCTCAGCGTGAGCAGGAAGATCTGAGGGACGCAGAGTCGGGGGCTCCGAGCTCCCGCTCTGTGTCACGCAAGTCTCGCACGGTGCAGCCCCGGGAGCCGCTTCCGAAGCCTGTCCCGGTGCCAAGCCCAAGCGGCTCCGAGGAGGATGAGCCAGACCCCTCGCCGCAGCCATCGGCCGCTAAGCGCGCAAAGCCGAAGGGAGCCAAGAGCAGCAGCGCCGGGGGGAGGCAGGTGATCATCAACATTGCCTGAGACACCGGCAGGCCGTGAACTCCTTTTCTTACGCTGATATGGCGTTGCACTGTGTCTGGAAAAAAGAGTGCACCGCGTTCGTGTCAGGGGATGCCTGGGGATTTCAAATAACGGGGTTTATAAGTATACTTGGCTTCAAAGGTTTCCACTAGATAACAGAATGAGAGTTTTTTTTGGTGGTCAGGATATATTCTTCGAAACACATATATGTATGAAGAATCTCTGAAACTTGGGTAGCTGTGGCTCGAATGGGTTTCCGGATAGACAGATAGCAGTTGGAAAATGCCACAGCCATGTCACTTCAATATATCCAAAGATGACTTGGCAACTTTCCGTGCTGCGCTGGAAGCTGCTGCCTCTAGCCAGCTGTCTTTGTGGACCTCGTGGGAAACATGCTGGGTCACGGTGTCTGAGTGCTTGGATCAAGCAGAAGCTCGTGCCTATGAGGCTGGGGATGTGGCGGCTGCCAAGCAAGTGCTTCGTCTCAATAAGCTTATTCAGACGTGCTTGCAACCGAACTGGCAACTTGTGTCTGAGGAGCCGACTCCTGAAAAGACCATCTTATGCAGCATGTATGACTGGACGGATCAGTGGTCCAGGTACAAGCATAGTTTGGGATATTTCCATATGGAGCAATTCTCCGATGTTGCCGGTGATTTAAAGCGTTTGCAGGAGAATCTCACGCTGCTGCCTGCGTCAAGCTGGGCCCACGAGGCTGAGAAGCAGGTGTCGCTGCTGTTGGTAGATTGCTGGGCCTTGCGGTAGGGAAGACCAGAAGTTCGATGCGTGTGGTGAGAAACGGTCCCTGTCCGCGAACTGTCCGCGAACGTCCGCGGTTGTCCGCGGCTCTGTCAGGTAGATGCTTTGTCCGCGTTGTCCGCAAGCTTAACTAATATATAAGACTAAAAAAAAGCCTTGATTCCGATATCTTTCCTCTTGTCCGCGGAAGAACGACTGAAATCCGTTGTCCGCGGGTCTGTGATAAAACCTCCAAGTTTCCGTACCTTTTTGGTTCAAGACTCAAAGTGGCTCCATAGTTGCCAAGGCCTCTTCTTTATCTCCCGTTGTGTCAGATCAGTCCCCTTTGTCTCATGGCGGCTGCTCCTGCGGAGGAAGCGTGCAAGCACCGCTGCATTCTGTGCAACTTGACCCACGAGGTCGAAAGTGGCAGAGTGCACGGTCGAAAGTTTACGTGCACTCCGTGCGCCAGCGCAGACCGACTTCTACGTCGGGGCCTTGGCTCAAAGGACGAGCTGCAAAACCTCAGTGTGGAGGAACAACACAGCTTTTTCCAGAAGTTGGCTGTGGAAAAGGCCAACGCGAAGGACTCCAGAATCGACTGGAAAACTGTGCGAGCGTGTCTCGTGACCTCCTTGACAACTCGACAAATGACGGAAAATGCAACGGCTGTGGATACCCAATTCCTTCCGCTGGATGTTTGGCTGAAGCAAGGTTGGCCGGAACAGACCGTGCGGAATTGTCCCAAGGAGTGGAATGAACAGTACGGATGTGACACATATCAGGTCCCCGTGAAGAGCATGACTTGGAAGCAGACGTACCAAGCTGTGGAAGAGAGAATTCTCCGTCAGGAGAAGGAGGCCACTGCCAAGCGCATGGCACGACCCCGTGGGCCGAAGGAAGCTGAGCCGGAAGCGGCTTTGGATCTGCCGGCTCCCGAGGCTGCCAAGAAAGGAGATGCTTCGGCGGCCGCAGAGAAAAAGGCTGCCAGAGCTGAAGCTGCGCAAGAAAAGAAAAATCAAGCTTCGAATCAGAAGATGCAGCTGCTGGCTGCGAAAGCTGTCGCACCTCTGGCTCAGGATCTCCAGAGCCTGACCAAGCTACGTGCTCGTGTTCCTGCTGATTTACCAGAACCGATCCAAGCGGTCTACGAGGACAATGTGGGAAAGTTGCAGCGTTGGAGCCAAGCTGCCAAGGGCCTTCTCAAAGACTGGGAAGAGGAAGCAGCCCAGACCGGTAAAGTGGCTTTGACCGCTCCGCCGTTTGACATGGCTGATGTGAAGTGTCTCCACAAGACTGTGGTGGAGGTGCAAGCCAATTTGCGTCAACACTTGCCGGTGCCTAAAGCCAAGGCGGCCGGTAAGCGCAAGGCGGCAGAGGCAGGAGCAGAGGCCACGGACACGGCAGCTGCGGAGGGGGCCGAAGCAAATCCACCTGCTCGCCGTGTGCGCAGCAAGGGAGGAAACAAGTGAGCGAGCGCATGCGAGCCAATTTAATTTGCTTTAGAAATTCACTGTTGACCTCTCGTTTTGCTCTGTGTTGAGCTTTTCAAAGCGAAGGTCCGTTCCAAGTCCCAAATAGAAAGTGAGGCAAACTGTGCTGATCAACTGCAGGGGAGAAGCAGAAAAGAAGCGAAATGCATTATCGCATGCTGCCAAGACAAAGTGTTATAAATGCAACACAAAGCTTTGCGCGGCAATGACCTTGAGATCTCATTGACGTTTCTGCAGCATGTCTAAGTTGAACACATCAGACTTGGATTCCCTTATATTACGCATATATAGGTAAGAATATCCAATCTATATGAATATATATATACATATTTATATATATCTATCTATAATATGTCTGAGACTATAGATCTATATATACAGTATATATATATCGATAAATATATATATATATATTGACAACATGATTCCTCCATATAGCTCTTCATATAGCGCTACAAAATCAAATATATATATATATATGTATTTACATCCATATGGAAATCCTATATTCCCCCTGCTATCCCCATACATATGCTACACAGATGCATGCATCGCCTCGTTATTGCAGCTGGGTGGCTCGAGTGAAAACACTGGAAGCACACGCGCGTGGCAATTAACGCTCAAGTACGAGCCAATATGCCATGTATGAAAAAGGATTCAATCTGCAAATATCGAGTCCATGCCATATATATATATAGATGGATATATCTTGGAATGCATTGGACCAAGTACAAGGTAACGTCATGAAAAGAAATCCTCCTTGCATATGGTATAAGGTGCTTTGAGTTCTGGAAGCATCCGAAGGAGGCAATGGGAATGCCTTCTCTTTTTAATTGTCGAATCAGTATCGGTCTGTAAGACAGATCGGTTCCTTGACTGCCGCTGAATGCAGACAAGTTGTGCGATTGGTTCGGGATGATGACAGAGGTGGTGGCACGGCTAAGCGCCCAAGTGTCAATCATCCCAAAGCGTTCCCGTGCCTTCGTGAACTATCCCTGCAGGAAGTGGAAACGGGTAGACCTCTTAAGGCCTGGAGCATGAGTTTGCCTGCATTGGTGCAAGCCAAGATTGACGCATGTCCCTTGTATCGTCTTATGATGCAAAGGGCTTTAAAAAAAAACAGAACCATCTCAATCTCATCTTTTATCAAGATGAGGTATCGGGAGGTAACATCTTGAGTCCAAATCACGCCAGAAAAAGTAATCTCACTTATTTCACATGGCTGGAATTTGACGTCATTTTTCTGGAAGATCTATGGCTCACCCTGGGAGTGACTCGCTCCAAAGAAATTGCCGCCATGGACGGGGGGATGGCTGCGTTGACCAAAGCCATGCTGTTGCAGATACGATCTGAAACAGCTAATGGCTTCGTGGTCGATTTGGGATCCATGGGGGAGCCAGTGCTTTGCTTCATAGATTCAGTCATTCTGTTGATGGATCACGAGGCGATTCGAGCTTGCACTGGCACGAAGGGTGCCAGCGGATTGAAATGCTGCATCAAATGCCTCAATCTCTTGTCCCTAAATAAGGCCGCAGAAGTCAAAGACCACTTTGATATCAGCCACGCTGATCTAGCCAACTTTTGGCCGGCCACTGATGGCTCTGTCCGAGCAGCAGCGGACCGCTTGAGAACAGAAGAAAAAAAAGGTAAGAAACAAGAACTCGAAAAACTTTTGGGCTGGAATGCTGCGATGTTGCTGGCTGGTCCATTAACGGAGCCTGCTTTGGAGAAGTGGGTTTCCGTTGACACAGTTCACTTTGACACCATGCACGCTTACTATAGTAACGGCATTATCGGATGTGAATTGGGCCATTGGTGGGAGCTGGTGCAGCACCATGCCCAGGTCACTCTCGCACAGCTCGCACTGTATGCGGCGATGTGGCAACGTTGCCCAAATTCACCTGCGGCAAAACAAGTGGGGCCGCAACACTTCTTTGAAGAAAAACTGTGGCGAGACGGTGGTGATTTCCGAGGGGAATGCGCAGCATCTGCATTGGCGCTCATTCTTTGTGTTGGGTTTTCGGAAGAAATTCTCACAGAGATTGCGGCAGTGCAAGCAGCCGTTGCTTCCCTCAAATCTCTCTACGAGGTCGTTTCTGTATTGGCTGAAGCCAAAAGATATCCACCAGCAGCCACAACACTATTGACCAAGCAGCAGGCGCACATGAGATGCTTCACTGAAGCTTACTCAAGCCAATGCATGCGACCCAAATTTCACTATGCCTTGCATACAACGGCACAAATTCAGAAGTTTGGTCTCCATATCGATTGCTTTCCATGCGAAAGGAAGAACAAAGCATACAAGGCACGCGCAGCATCCAACTGGAGCAATTCTCCTGCGTTCTCCAAAGGAGTCTTACTTGAACTTGTCACGCAAGACTTAAACAAGGCCTTGCCCGTGGAAAAATTTGGGCTTCGAGTCCTAAGAGGACGTATGAATGTCTCTGGCCCAGCACAGTCCGACCTTGCCTCAGAAGCGACTGAGTTGGAGTACAAGTGTGTCACGTATAGCCGAAACCAATTTGTCCGGCTCTCAGATGGCACCACTGCATGCATTCAATTTTTTCGCTGCCGAGGGGAAACGGTGGAAGTGTATCTGCAACGGATGAAAAAAACAAAAAACAACAAAGGTTATGCAGTTCTTGCAACTTGGAACTACGTCCCTGGCGCTCATGAGATAACGGATGCAAAGCGTCTGGACCAAAGTGTTTCACCACAATACTTTCGAAGCAACGATGATGGATCCATCAGCCTCTTGTGGTGAAAAAAGAGCTCTGGTACCTGTGTGAAAACGGTATAAAATCAAACAAAACAAGGCCTAAACCTAAATAAAGCAAAATACACCTGAAAACACTTAGAAAAACTTAGCTACTTATGACTGGACTTATAAGTAAGTTATAAGTCCATCAAAAACACTTATACTTAAGTCCACTCTAACTGACTTATAAGTCCATAAGTCCCGGGGGGCATCCTAGTACTCTTTGATCACTATCATATTTTTATGTTGCAGCTTGGGCTTCACGCTTTACGCTTGACACTCGACGCCATGGCTCATTCTTCTCGCCCCCACCCATATCGCGCTACATCCAGGGTTGATACACCACAAGGTCCCCGAACTGCTGCATGGCTTGCTGGACACCGAGGCCTTCCTGGTGATGTGAACCCTCTTCCAAACCGACCTGTTCTGATCTTGATTGACTACTCTCCTTTACAGGCATTGACTCACCGCAGTGAACCTGACCGTGATCACTACATGGCTATGGCCAGTTCAAATCTCAAGAATGTTAGTGGCTACGAACTTGAAGCTCTGTTTACCTGGTCACGCCAGCTGGAACCAATTGAAGCAGGCATCCTTCCCGTTCGAGACCTACGTTTCGCCATCTCAAAAAGATTGAGGACCCAATGGAACATCCAACTTGACCCTTCGAATTTGGAGTTTCGCTATTGCGACCTGGAAGGTGATACATTCCAAGTCCCCAATGATTTGACGGTCATGCAGCTTTTGGAAGAATACCGACCTGACTGGCGAATCCGACAGTACAACTACATCGAATCTACTTTGCTCATCCCAGGTTCCTCACAGCCTTTCGTGCTACGTCTGAGATGCCATAAAGTTAGCCCTGGAGTTATCCTACCCTGATGTGCTCACTGGTAAAAAAGAGAATGCTCGACTTGTTCCTTTCGTTTAACCTATGACACTTCATTAACACGGAGGATTCTTCGGATTTCACCTCTCGATTTATTTCCACCATTTTAGGTTCAGTGCTTTGTCCTTTCCGTGGGCTTTGAACAACTCGATTGACCATTGGACATTACTACTATTATTATTCTATGGCTCGGCTTATTTTATATTTTCCTGATTCCTCAGCCTTTGGTCGTACCATTTCACGCATTTTCTGACCGTCTCACCCAAGGAGCATAAACGTGACGCTACCGTGGCGGGCTTGGCTTGGCCTTCGAATCCCAACCGCGGACTCGCTCCCACAAACCCAGATCAAGTACCCGATGGCCAGGCTTCTGAACTATGTCATTCTGTCGCCCCTGACCCTACGACCTCGACCACCTCGGCACCTTCGGCAGCTGACACTACAACTAACGACATCGGAACTACGCCCCACGCCGATACATACTCAGGCTCTGCACCTCCTGATGTTCCTTTTCCGACTGAGCCAAGTCCTACATACCACTACCTCCATCGTGCTCACTTTTCATCTCGCGTGGTCCACCAGATCCACTTCAAGATCATTACCCACTCCAACAATACCAGGGAGTTATTCATCGAAGAGATCCCCATGTCGGGGCTTTCCAAATGTCGTGACCCCGAGCACTACTTTTATGGTCTTTCGGGCAATTGGGAGTGGTCCCTTCGCACAGCGGATTATTGGCGCCATCACTTTGAGATTCCTCTAGTACATGGGCATCATCCTTTTCACAACGTCCCCATTGAGACCACTTCACCTACGGAGGCAACCCGCTTAACTCCGAAGATCCAGGAGCTGGCCAAACAACTTTCAACCACTTTGACTGCTGCTATGGCATCTGGGGAAATCAATGACACGTGGAGGATAGTTGAAGGCATGAGCTTCCGCGACGCGATCCAAATACTTCAACTTGAAGCGAATTTCCCTTCTGAGTGACTGAACGCGGCTATGTACATTACCACCGGGTAGCCTTTTGGATTTGATTGATTCTGCCGACCTTAGCAGCGATGTTCTTCCAAAAGAATCAAACCCCGCTATATGCGGGGTGTGTGTGTGTGTGTAACATCTGAACAGATGTAAAACTTCTATTGTTTTAATCTTTTCACATTTGCAGGGGGACGTGGCATACAATCAGGGACCACGTCCAACGAAGCTACCTGATTGTATGGGATACAGAGCCTGATCAGCTCTGCGTACCTGCCGTTCGAATTTTCGGAATAGCAAGGGGCCAAGCTAAGAACCCCAAAGACGAACATGATACATGTGCACGGTTGTCACAATCTGAACTTCATGTCGGGTTGCATCAGAACCTTCCTCAGAGCAAGGACGTAGAAAGCATTTTTGTAACATTTTGTTTACTTGATCGCCGACACCATCGTCGCCGACAGTTATTTATTGCCTAAGCTTCGCCGAGACATCGCCGATGGTATTATTGCTGGTTTATTTATTCTTTTTGATGTCGATTCTGAACCCGATGACCATTCTGAAGTACTTCTATTATTCGTAGGATGCATCGTTAATTTCGTTGTTTCATATCTAATCTGCATGTTTCAGGATTCAGTTCCTGCCGGATCATATAATGATCCATTCTTGTCTAGTGTGTGGGCGTGTGCGTGTGTGTGTGTGGGCGTGTGTGTGTGTGGTGGGGCGTTACGGTGGAAGTGGGGTTGTGTGTGGGCGAGGTTGATAGGTCTTCTGGTTGTGGGTGGGTGGGTGTGAGGGGAAGTGGAGGGAAAGGGGTGTGGGGAGTGTTGATGGGGGTTGTGCTGTGGGAGAATGTGAAATGGAGTGTGTGTGTGTGGGAGGGGTGTGTGTGTGTGTGTTGTGTGTGTTGTGTGTGTTGTGTGTGGTGGGTGTGTGTGTGTGTGTGTGTGGGTGTGTGTGTGTGTGTGGTGTGTGTGTGTGTGGGGTGTGTGTGGGTGTGTGGTGTGTGTGTGGGTGTGTGGGTGTGGGTGTGTGTGTGTGGTGTGTGGTGTGTGGTGTGTGGTGTGTGGTGTGGGTGTGTGTGGGTGTGTGGTGTGTGGTGTGTGGTGTGTGGTGTGGTGTGTGGTGTGGTGTGTGTGTGTGTGTGTGTGTGTGTGTGTGTGTGTGTGTGTGTGTGTGTGTGTGTGTGTGTGTGTGTGGGGGTGTGTGTGTGTGTGTGTGTGTGTGTGTGTGTGTGTGTGTGTGTGTGTGTGTGTGTGTGTGTGTGTGTGTGTGTGTGTGTGTGTGTTTTCCTACACACCTTTTTGTGTCTGCAAAAGGTCTGTGCCGGCCCATCAACGATTTGTATCGTCGGTTCCAATCTTTCGGAATCCTGTGGCCCTGAAACTGCTGGAGAAAAAGTCACAAAGTTGTATTGAAAAAGGAGAAAAAAAACCTGATCAGCTCCTGAAGTCGTGTGTCAAAATCATTTGAGTCCGGTCGACTCCAATGAGAAGGCTCCAGGCTGCGATTGCAAAAGTTGCAAAAGTGCACTGTCAGGTTTGTCGGTCTTCTGGGCATCTGCTGGGGCATCATTTTCGGACTGGGCAAGAAACACGGGGAGACGCAGGCAATCTGTTCTGAGCATCCAAATGACAACTAAATTGCTGGCAAACCAGGCCGGACACTGCCACATCGGAGTGGGATGATGATCATCCTCTGTCACCAGCCAGGCTGCCGGTTGTCCTCCAGCTGTCAGGGTGGGCTGCATTTTGAGCATTGCCTTGCAGTGTCCAGCCATGTCACTGCCAAAATGAGCTACTCCAGCAACTGGAATATAGCCAGCAGTCGCACAACCCAAACGTTGATTGCGGAAAACAGGCATGGTCACTTCCGTGTCAATGTCAATACGACACAGGCTTTTCTGTACCTCACCATCAGGCGTGCGATAAAACCTATCAACATGAAAGCAAAGGCATGACGGGGCATCCAGTAGCGCAGCACACATGGAGTGCTCCTGAGTCCAGGCGAGCACCAATTGAGATAGCTGGCACTGTCCATTCAAATGCAAACGCTCAGGGATGATCAATGTAATCGGCGTGTAATTGCTATTGGAATCATGAACATGTATGCAGTCAGCAGTCTCAATTCTTCTCTCCCAGCGCATGTCAAACGCCGCAGCTCGTAGCCAGTGCAGAGCGCGCTGAATGAATTCAGCGCTATCTTTCTGGGCATGAGTTGCACCCCAGTCTTTGACTATTGCCTGAAACCATTCACACTCACACAGCTTGGCCGGTTGATGGGCATGCTGCTGAATGAAAATAAGCAAATCACTCAGGTGTGGTCCCCAAAGATCCGTCATAGGAATCTGCAGACAAAGAAGGCACCAGATCAAACTGTGCAAAGAAGCATTTCCGTAGCACCAGTTGCTGTCATTGGTCAAACGCAACTGACACATGATCTGAGTAAGTTTGGCTACCTTCTCAGAGCTCAGGATTCGGACTTCTCTGTTGTGTTCTTCTTGGGCTGCTTGCTCTTGCCCTTCCCCTTGCCGCGGCCTTTGGGCTTGTTTGGACCCACCATGGCCTGCAGGGTGGACGCCAGAGGTGATTGTCCCAGGCTGTGTGGCTTCATCGTCGCTCCTACGACCATCCAGATGGCATTGTGCGTCAGGTAATGCAAAAGGTCGTAGACCCTGTCGTGCCTCAGGTGAATCTGTAGACGCCAGGGCACTGTTTTGTCGGTCTGCGCATCCGGGGCCCGCAATGCATGGAATCTGATCACAGCTTCCCTGTGGGTAAGCAGTTCCGTCAGCTCCTCCAAGTTCTGTTCCATCTTGGCCGCACTGATGGGCTCTTTCTTGTCCAGGATCAGCAACTGGGTGGCCGGGTCCCACCTGTGAAATGGGAAGCTCTTGTCTGCCAAGATCAGTCCCTTGGCCAGGGAGGTGGTGAAGAGGTCGTCCGTCTCCTTGGCAGCGACTATCTTCCCTGCTCGGGTTCTCATGGCGTTCAGCATCGTCAGCACCAGATGTTGGCGCAGCGGCATCATCTGAGCTGTGGATGTACCCTCCATCTTTTGTTTCCATTGGACCGTCTCCTGCATCATGAGATGAAGAGCGCCTGTCTGTTCGGGATTCAAAAAAAGAATGAATTGATCCATTCTTCTGAGTCCTTGCAGCTCCTGGTCGTGTCGGACCAGAAGAGTGACCAGGGTCGCCAAAACCTTCTGTGTGGCCTCCATGGCTGCTGGTTGCTCCTCCGTCCCCTCGGCGCTGTCTTTTGGGCCGTCGCGACGTCTGGCTTTGGTCTGCCGGGGGTTCTCGGCCAGCTGGAGGGACTTGTCGTGGAAGAGAGGCGCCAGGGCCCCAAAGGCCTCCTTCATCTGGGCAGAGACCGCCATGTCGAACTGTTCCATCGATCAGATGGCCACCGTTGAGCAGAGCCCCGAAAAGCTGAGCCAATTGGATCAGCACAGGACAAGCTCCACGCAGGTGAGACAAGGCAATTTGGGCTCGAGCAGACAGTGTTTCATCAGGCCGCAAAGAAGAAGGCAAATTGAAAACAAGGTCGCACAAATGACACTGATAGTGATCCAAGTTCGGCTCCAATGCAATGGGCAAGAGCTGTTCCATATAGAAAAGAAACATCTCATGATTGCACTGATGCTCCTCCCGCAGATGCAAGGCCATGTCAGATGGGGCCGGTTGAGCACCGCAAAGTATGCAGTGTTCCCGCATCAGCTTCAGGATCTCAGAGTCCTGCCATGTGTCAGAAAAAGTGCGATGAACCAACGCCCTTTCCAAGCGGTACTTGGCAGCTCGTGGCAATGTGTCTGCAAGAATGTCCTTCAGCAGTTTGTCAGTGATCACGGTTGGCGCAAATGGTTCTACTCCCATACGATGAAAGGCCATTGCCAGTTGCCTGAACGGCAAACAAACATGTTGTGTTCTGTGTACGCCCGATGAAGGATTGCAGAAACACTGATGTTGATAAAATGCATCAACCATGATGAGAGTGAGCCTTTGCGATTTTCTCCACAATCTGGAGTGAGCAGTTTGAAGGTGTAGGGCCAAGTCGGCAGCCCTCTTGCAGCCCTTGCCACAGGCCTGACAAACCACCGTCAGTCTCATCCGCACCATGGGATCCTGGAGGACAGTCAGAAGCTTGCCATCAAGACAGGCCTGTTTGCTGTTCTCATCGACAGGCTTGGTCTCGGCCGTAGCCTGAGGATTGAAATACAAACATCGGCCCTGCACCACATGAGATTTGAGCCCGCCCAATGTTTGGAACAATTGCCCACAATGTGCGCATGCTGAGGTTCCATCCAATGAGTCGCGGCTTTCGTTGTAGCTCAGACCCTGGAGTCCATGTCTGTCCTGCAGATGTCGGACCAGGTCTGTGGACGTAGTGAAACATTCAAGACAGAGTTCACAGCGTTGCCGGACTTCCTGAACTGGGTCATTGATCTGCATGTCGAGGCCAGCACCGTTCACCAGCAAGACTGCTATCTGAGACCAGGTCGGGCAGGAATGAGTCTTGAATAAGGCTCCGCAGCACGCACAAGGACTTTCAGAAGAAAATAAATTTGTCAGCTGAATTGACTTCTGAGGAGCGTACTCCCACAACTCCGCATGCTGCAAACGGAAGTGTTGATGAAGTTCTTGGCATCTGGTGAATTGATGGTCACAGATGACGCAGCGGGAGCTCAAATACTGGCAAATCTCAGAATCTGCAGCAACCCTGTCCCACGAACGCTCCTGCACAATATGAAGAAGTCGATCTCCAAATGCCTGTTGGCGTAAGTGATGTAGTTCATCTGGAGTGATCAAACGGACACCTCTTGCAGCTGCATCTGCCAAATGTGGTTGCATGATGTCCAAACTGCCAAGGGAAGCACCAATGCGTCTCAAGGGCGTCGTGCACGGAGCTGGTCCAGGCAAAAGTTCCTGGCATCCACGCTGGATGTGAGCTGTGAACATGCGCCAGGTCGTAAAGGTTTGGTGACAAAACTTGCATGTTGGGAGACCATCCATGGTGTAGTCAGAAAGTTTCACATGTTGTGTGCGATACATGGTATGTCCATGAACTTGAGTGCAATGTTTCCTGAATTGACTGACCTGATCTGTGCAAAAATCGCATTGAGCACATTGAAAAAAAGGGCTGGCATAGCAAGCCTCACCCAAAGGTGTCCAGGGCTTCTCTGAAGATTCAGTGGCCTGCAAATGATCCAAAAAGCTGACAAGCTGCTGTAAATGACTCCAGTCAATGTGTCGGGCCAGGTCATGTGCTGGTAACACTGTGTCCCGTTCATGTGTGGTCCTCCAAAGTCCAGTCGCAGTGCCATGAAGCAGTTGCGCCGGGGTGAAGAACTTGTGAATAGCAAACACATGTTGATTTGTGCGTCTAGTCACATAGGAATGGTCATGCATCAGCTTGCGTAGCATAATGGTCATCTGTGTTGTTGCCAGTTTGATACCCACTGATGTGAGACCTGTTGCACAAATGCCATAGCTCAGTATTGGGTAAATGCATGTAAGCCAAAGTTGGTATCGCTGTTTCACGCTGAGGCTGTGTTTGCCCAGGAGCCATTTCTGCATGCGTCGAAAACCTGTATGCATCAAGGAGAGCCGATGTTTCAAGCTGAGATCTTCAAAGTTGCCATAACAGATCATCACCCCCAAGTACTTTGCAGTTCTGTGAATGGGAATGCTCACTGAGGTGCTGTCAAGCTTGTAAAAAATCATCTTTTCTCCATCACGATCGCGTCTGGTGACCGTCGGTCGCAAGGCATGGCTTCTGCTCCCCCGCATTTCCAAAATGACGACTGACTTGTCAGGGTTGATGCGCAGTTGCATGGATTCCAAAAGTGAAAACAAAATGCCCACCACCTTCCGACAATATTGGAATTCTTCAAAGGAAACAAACTTGGAACCAATGTGAAAATCGTCAGCATAAATGGTCAAGTGCCTTTGAATCCAATGCAGGGGAACATAGTCCATCAAGTCATGTAACAGCAGCACAACAAAAAAGTTCCACAATCCCGGGGCCGCCTTGCAGCCTTGGCGGACGCCACGGCCAATGGCTATGGGGCAGTCTGCATGATCATGTTGGACATAGTAAACAGAGTGTTCATGCCACGTGGTCAACAGCTGGATCAGGGACTGACTGATGTTGAGTTGATGTAGACGTTGAAAAAGCCTACACCTATCCACACAGTCAAAAGCACATCGCAAGTCCAAGCAGATCTGAAGGCCCCCATACAGGCTATATTGCGGCTGTCTGCGCACCCTCTTGTGAGGAGTAGATCTCTGAAACTGTAAAAGCTCCCTGATTTCGGCACAATGCAAGCTAACCCTCCTAATCGCATCCAGCGTGGAACGATGCACCAAATAAGCCCAAACAGGAAAAATGGCAAGATGATCATTGGCTTCAGTCATGGCTAAACGGATGATCAAACCAAGGATGGCCTTACCTACTGGTTCCTGCAGCGCCAGCGGGCGCAAATGGTGAGGGGAATCTGGTGTCTTGGATGCTTTAGGAATTAGAAATAACCATCCATGGCGCCATGAACAAGGAATTTGGGGAGGGGTGGTAGACCACCAATCCAAAAGTTTGGCATGCAAGGCTGGAGCTAGGATGGAGGCATGCTGTTTCCAGACGACTCCAGGAGCAAAAGGCTTTGCCACTGCCTTCCCTGGCGGGATCAGAGCCAGAGCCCTTTCAAGCTGTCTCACTGAAAAAGGCACGCCTGGTGCAGCTTCAAAGGTCATCTGAAAGGACTGAGGTCCAGCCCATGTGTCAGCTACAAATTTGTTCAGCAGGGCAACACTTTCTACTGGGCTGGCCATGCGTCCCTCCGAAGTTCTGAGTTGAATCTGCTTTCGGGTTTGTTTGGGTGCAAAACGATTGATGATCTGAAAGAGTTTGTGGGTATTGTGTTGGGCAGCTGCATCCACAGCACAATCAACAACCTCTTGAAAACGTTTGGATCTGACTAAAAACGCTTGTTTCCTGTGCAAACGTTTCAAGAACATGAACCGTGATGCATGAAACCAAACATGAAAAATATTGCGCAGATTTCGCGGTCCAGGCCTCTGCATGTTGCGTCTGTGTTCCCACTTATTCTGCAGCGTTGGCATAGTCAGGCGCCATGCTGGTGGAGCTGAAAGTGTACGGCCAGCTGGAAAATGGTCACAAAAGGTCTTGAGCATCTGTTGATGGATTTCCTCCATGAATTGATCAGCAGACCCTGAGTGGTGAGCAAAAGTTGCCTGAAGCTGGCTGGCAGAGCACTGTGCAAAATCAAGCCATTCTGAAGTTTGATCCACGTAGGCCTGTCTGCTAGTGTTCCTCTGTTGCATGCTGACTGCCTGTATGCGGTGATGCGCAAAAACTGGAATCCAATGCTTGGCTATGGTGAAGAGCATAGGGGCATGTCCATATTCTGTTTGGTTCAAAAAAGGAGAGTCCCACAGATACTTCACTTGTCTGGCATCGCCATCTGCATAAGGTTGACGTGCACATGCAAAGTCTATACGACTCGCAGTGGAGCCATGCACAAACGTCGGACCCAGTCGAGCTGACCATGTATTCAGCGCTACCAGAGCAAAATGGCGCAGTAGCTGTGCAAATCTGCTCTGATCAGGATGCACTGTGCCACTGCATTGTTTGCCACACCACCCAAACGTTGAGGTGCCAACACTCCGAGGAGAGGCGCCAAGGGAACAGTTGAAATCTCCCAGGAGTGCAAGGCAGTTCCGGCCAGGTAACTGGGCCAGAACTCGTTCCAACAGAGTCCACCATCGATCCCTGGCAACCCGGCAAGCTTGAGTGGGTTGGTATGAGTGCTGGTAACAAGCCAGCACATCCAGGCTGCGAGGTCGGAGATTGATGCGCAAGTGAACCAGTCTGCCGCTGTCATGGGTATGCCATTGGAGCTGAGAACCATTGCATAAGCGTCGAGAGACCAGGATCGCAATGCCCTTCCCCCTATGGGGTCCATCTCCAGAATGTATCATGTGCCAGTCTGGGTCTTGCCAGGTGGCATCATATGTCCATCTGGTTTCTAAGAGCACCGCAATGTCGATCTGATGCATGACAAGCCAGGCCTTCACCTCATCAAACTTCGGCACCGAGAGTCCACTGCAATTCCACTGCCACATTTTGAGACGTCTCTTGGTAGCATGATGCCAATTGCAATGGCGGAGATCCTGTTGCTTGGCTGATGTCAAGGCACCTGGCGATGTCGAAGTAGATTTACATCCCATCCGTTCAAGGTCGGCCACAGTGTAGTGTTGGCCTCTGTACCACGCCATTCCCTGCTGTTGAGCCCGCTTGTATGCCCGCAGCAGACTGCGTTTTGTGACCTGTGACATATGTCCAAAGGCAGTTGCAGGCCCCGCTGGTGTGCTCTCGCACGCTGGTGGCCGCATGCCATGTGGCTTC